TTTAGTCGACCCCGGATACGTTCTTCGGGAGCTTTCTGTATTTGGAGGGGTTTCGGTCGATGTTACCTTCGGCTGGGCGTCGAAACCTCTTGTGGGAAATTGCCAGCTCGAGACCACGGACCTTTAGAATGATCTATCGAAGCATTTTGCCAACGGGAAGTCGGTCCTCCGATTTCACCGTGCACAGATAGTCTCCGCGTTTCTTAGAGGGTAGCGATAAGAAATGTTTTTGACACCCCATTCCGCAGATTCTTGAAGACCCCATGTAGTTCGCGTAGCCCCTCCCACAAATGTCGAGGCGTTTCACCCTTTCGCTCCCCCTGGGTTATTTAGAAATATCATGACTCCTTGCTCCTTGGGATCATATCGTTGTTTATCGATTCAGCTTCTATGAACTCATTAATTGCGCCTGTTGTTATGCTTTTCGAGGGCAGTAATGGCGCCGTCGGTTACTTTGTACCCCCCCCCCCCCACCCACCTATATATGGGGCTTCTAGCGATCAGCTTTTCATTCGAACTTTCTTCGATATTCATCCTCCTCTCTTTTCCTGTCATTTTTTTTAGTTTTTGCTATGTTTGAGGCCCTCGGCCTCAAGACCTTATGCCATATATGCCATGGCCCGACTCTCGATCCCTTTTTTGGTTGGACGAAATTGTGTCGCCGTGAGGTTATCGTTGTTGTTGTTGTGGCTGTGGTTGTTGCCGTTGTTGTTGTTGTTGTTGTTGTTGCTATGGTTGTTGTTGTTGTTGTTGTTGTTGATGTTGGCTCGAGCGACGAAGTAGGGGATCGATTTCCTCCGAACCGGGGAAAAATTCGGATTATGCACCGCTGCTCAAGAGGGGGATCGGATTTATACACCGCTGCCCACCCTTCTTCCTCGGCTCGGCGTGTTACACCCTCTTTGGATTCCTGAGGGGTATGATGATGGTCTCCGTCGGCGGTTGCCTCCTGGGCCGAGGCAACGCTTCAGAAAATGGCTTCGAGATGGTGGTACTGGTAGGCTTTGTACCAGCCAAACCTTTCACCCAGCCACTTCCGGTCTTCTTCCGGCATCTCTTCGTTATTTTGCTCTTCTCCTCCGCCTCTCTATTCTATATCCTTCCTTTTGGAGATGCCATTTCGAGAGGATTTAGGATGAGATCCCCGAGGGGATCGACCATGGAAGATATTGTCTTTGAGGTCGTATGCCTGAGGGGGTGGTAATGGAAGCGCAACATAAACAGGCCAGATCCTTAGGCTTGCATATTACCTGTATTTCTTCGCTCTTTTTATATATAATGTAATCGTATGTAAGGATATCTCGAGGATTGTTGTAAGTGGATACTTGTGCAAATACAAAAGACTTTCTCTTGGTTTCTTCCTTCGATGTTTGCCGCGTTCCTTTACATTTTTTGGTGACTTCACGTGCATGTTCCTCCTATGTCGTCTGTGATACTGGCCTCGGGCGCGAGTGTTGCATCTGGCCTCATGCTGACGAACTAGCCGTATGTGGGGTCCTTTTGTGACTTCCCCAACTTGGCCCAAATTGGGCCAACAACTTCGGACCGTCGGAGCTCCTTCTCCGTGCAAAAGTGTGATCGAAGTCTTTGGGCCCCGTAAAATGGCCATTGAGAAGAGATTCGTCCGAGGATCCGCGGTCTTAACACGCCGGTAACTTTCAGAGGTGATCTCTGAATGGGGATCCGGTTGTGCTTCAGGCCGTCACGGTCATTACCCGGAGTCTATTTTGTGCGGGCGTTTTTGTTAAGTACGCCTCCCCCCTTATGAATCAGCCCCCTATGGCGAAGGCCTCTTGGGGCTGTATGCCAATTCGATGGAGACATTGTTGGTCCACTTTTGGGCATTGTTTTGTTATGGCGGAAGTCCTTGGGGTCGGAGTTGGTGTCGATGGTCGGCGCCTTTGATTGGTGCTGGCTCGTTCCGGCCCTCTTCTTATGCGCTTGTGAAGTTGCTTCCGTCCGGGGGTTCCCGGAGCTCGCTGGTTTTATGGAGCTTGGCGGATCATGCCCTTAGCAGCTGCTTGCCCGGGGTGCAGCATAAACCGGGCGTGACGATGGATGAGATGTGTGCTGCGTACTTGTAAAGGAGCTTTTATTGGGGCGAGACTGACCCGAGCCTCCGAGGAGAGTGTGTTGTCCGAGCCTGACGTTGTTCCTTAATGCTAACGAGGGTAGGGCTGCTTAGGAGGGTGTTTGGTTGTTGAGTAGGCTTTGCCGGCTTCCCGTTGTGGCAGGTTTTGGCGCGATCCCTCCGCGTCTTGGATCTTTGAGTTTTGATTCGAGTTGATATGGTCGTAGAACTGTCGCTTGATTCTTCGAAGAGTCCGGATTGGGAATAGCCTGTGCTCGGGCTGGCGTAGCACTACCCTGACCCGCGGATGGCGAAGGAGTGGTGATTTATTTGCCGATGATTTGAGCCAGGCCGGAACGGGCTTTCGAAGGGAGCGTTTGCTTGCAGGGACATATGCCGGGGGTACCATTTTTCCGGGAGAGTTTGCTTGAGCGAAGATAGTCGGGCGTGGTGCCCGGCTTTTTTATGGCAGATGCCCCCGAAGAACGCCCGTCATCGGAGCGTCGACCTTGCCATCCTCCTTTTTAATGTTTTTACAGACTTATGCTTGTAGACGAAGAGCGCACCTTTCGCGCATATATATATGTATAAATAGAAAAAATTAGAGAAGTCATGAATTTCTTTACCTCCTTTGTATTGTGTTTGATCCGACGGACTGTTTTTCGTGTTTCGGCGGGACCCTGGCGGGTTCGTAACCAATCTATTTTAGGCCAGGGGACCTTTGAGTGTGACTTGCTGACGGGGGCAGGCACCGGAACCTTTTCGTTTTGTATAGCTACTTCCGGCGTTGAGTTAGGTTTTTGTCGAGCTTGCCTATCCTTCGGTCTCTTTGCGCCGGTGTGGGCGAATGTTCGAGCTGAGATTGTGGTGAAAGATACCGGGTCGGGGTCGAGAATGGTGGCTTACACGAGGAGCGCCGATGTCGCCAAAGTTGAGTTTGCAGAAGATCCTTGATCGTGCCTAAAATAGCAGAGTGTGTGAAATACAGATCCCGGAGGGAAGTCTTTGAGGAGATTCTTGCAAGGGGTTTTGATCTTTCGAGGGAGATTAGGCCACAGGATAGGAGCGTCGATGCCAAATTCCTTCTGCCCGACGCTGGGGATGATGAGGAGGAGATTATTGGGCTGTGACTGTCGGAAAAAAGTGGAATGACCGTTTCTTGCCTCCTTTGTTATGTATATATGGTTTTCAATATTCTACGCAGGTTGGGGCTCATCTAAAAGAAAATCATTTTAAAATTGTGTAGTTACATCATATTCTTTACTAAATCATGCATAGCTACTATCAGAATTGCTTTGTTTAGCAATGCTACCCCCAATGAAAGCAAGAGCCGAATAGGACAAGCGAAGTCCACGAGAGGACGAACTAACCTTCCCCCTTGACAAAACTCACGATTTTTCTTTGAATCCAGGCACCCCAAGACATAAAATCATCAGATACGATTACATACTCATACTTTTGCAGGAATATAACTCTCAGAATCATCACTTACTTACAAGCGCTATCCGCACATGACATCCCCAGCAGCCACAACGATGCAATCAGCCATCATCTATCATCTATCAGCTAAGAGCTTTCGTTACTATTCACCTTTTACCTCTGCATTGCATAAGGCTACCTTTTTGCCTTCCGAGACTAAGCTCTGTCTCCATCTGTATTTTTTGCATTGCATAAGGCTACTATTCTGCCTTCTGAGACTAAGCATTGTCTCCCTCTGCGTTCTTCTGCATTGCATAAGGCTACCATTCTGCCTTCCGAGGTTAAGCTCTACCTCCATCCGCATGGCTGAAATATCGCCACCTTCATCTACACCCTGCATCGGCTGAAATATCGCCACTTTTATTTAAATCCTGCATCGGCTGAAATATCGCCACTTTTATTTAAATCCTGCATGGCTAAAATATCGCCATTTTTATTTAAATCCTGCATCGGCTGAAATATCGCCACTTTTATTTAAATCTTGCATGGCTGAAAGATCGCCAACCTTTATTTAAATCTTGCATGGCTGAAAGATCGCCAACCTTTATTTAAATCTTGCATGGCTGAAAGATTGCCAACCTTTATTTATATCTTGCATGGCTGAAAGATCGCCAACCTTTATTTAAATCTTGCATGGCTGAAAGATCGCCAACCTTTATTTAAATCTTGCCTGGCTGCGCCGTTCTCTCAACCTCCGCCGATCCGACTTATGCAACACGACCAAATTTCTCCTAAACAGAAGCGAATCAGGTCCGGTTATCGAGGGTGTGCAGGTCCACGACCTCAACAAGCAGAGGGACTAACTGTATTGGTCTAAATTTGGCGACTTGGTAACAGTAGATAAATGGGACCAAGGACGAGGTCGACTGCACTGTAATAGCGGGATGCTACCCTCGAGAGGGCTGTTATCGAGGGCGAGCAGCGGAAGTGAAGAAGCAACGGTAGGATAGGTTCAGATATGGACACAAGGAATATTCCTTTGGATATTCCCTGTTTTGTACTTTTAGGATTTTTGGAGATATCCCTTATAAATAGGAAGATATAGACAAGAAAAAGGGATCTTCTGCACTTTTTGAGAAAAACATATTGTAAAAGGTTGACTTGAGAGAATATACAAAAGTTATCTTGTTCATCGATTATCTTATCCAAGCACATGTTATTTATTCTTTGTTCACAAGATCCAAAGAGTCCATTACCATCTTCACTTCTATTCTTTCCACGTTGCTGTCAGGGGAAAGAACCATCCAAGTCATACAATAATTGGGTGGTAGATTCATTCTTATTACCTTCATTGCCATTATCTGCATTTATTGCATGTTTTTTGGTGAAACAGAAATCTTTTATTCACAAATAAACAAGGCCTTTACAAAACTTCCCCTCGCTCTCCCATGTTTGCCTCTATACCTCTATTGTGTGTTTCTATATTTCCTACACTTCCTTCTCTATATTGCTATCCATATCTATACAATTGATCAATCCATTCTCTTTCTTTTCTGCTACATTTTTTGTTTAACAGAGGAACTATTCTAGTCTTACATTCTTGCTTCACTTGTGTACATATACTCTTCACTGTGGGAACCCGCTGGTTCCATAATGCTTCATTTCTTGCCCACCAAATTCTGTATATTAACGCTGCCACTATTGCTGTTGTGTATTCTCTGCATCTCTTCCCTTGTGTTCCCCTGATTATTCTCCTCCATATACCTTCAAGGTCAGTTTTTGTTGTTCCTTTTTTCATCCACTTTAGCAGCTCCTTCAGGCACTCCTCTGATAGTTTGCATTCAAAGAACAAGTGCTCCACTGTTTCCTTATGTCTTCCACATATCAAGCAATCACTATCTTGGCATAACTTTAACTTTTGCATCCTCTCCTTTGTCAATAGCTTCCTGTGCATGGCAAGCCAGCTCATGAAGCTGTGTTTTGGCACATTCATCCGACCCTATACCCCTCGATACCATGGCTTAATCTCTACTTCACCTTTGTACCATTGGTATCCACTTTGTATTGTATATTTGTCCCCCTGTTTAAGCCAGCCATTGTTGACAAAACCAGCAGCAAATTTGTCTCTACATGCACATACTTTCTTCCAATACCAACAGCTATCCACTGGTGGAACATACTGCCACCAATCCTGCTCTTTTATGTATACATGATTCACCCATTTCACCCATAGGTTATCCTCTTTATTTGCTATGTTCCAAACATATTTCACCATTGCTGCTTCATTCCATGCCATACAATCTTTTATCCCCAAACCACCCTGTTGCTTTGGTTTACATACTGTGTCCCATGCTACAAGTGCCATTTTTGTTGAATTCCTTTTCCCATCCCATAGGAAGCTTCTGCAAATACTTGTTATACTTTTAAGTACCTTCTTGGGAAGGATGAATATTGAAGCCCAATAAGAGTGGATATGCATCAATACTGAGTTGACAAGCATTACCCTGCCAGCATAGGAAATGTTTCTTGAACTCTAGGTTCTCACTCTGTTAGCCATCTTCTCCACTAGCATTTCACAATCTGTAGCTGAAAGCTTCCTGGCTGAGATTGGTACTCCCAAGTATTTAAATGGAAGGTCCCCCCTCTGGTAGCCAGTGAGCTCACAGATATCCTGAATGCATTCCTCCTCCATATTTGCACTGTAGATATATGATTTTGCTGCACTAGTATGTAGGCCTGATGCTCTTGAAAATGTTTCCAACCCTCTCAAGATCAATTCCACTGATTTCCATTCCCCTTTACAGAAGAAAAGCACATCATCTGCAAAACATAAGTGGTTGAGTTTGAGTCCTCTACATTTGGTGTGGAATTGAAATCCTTTCTGCTCAGCAATCCACTTCATTATTCTTGAGAGATATTCCATACATATGACAAATAGTAAGGGTGAAACAGGGTCCCCTTGCCTCAATCCTCTTTTGCCCTTGATACTTCCATGCACATCTCCATTGACTGCAATTGTGTACTGTGTAGTTGTGATGCAAGCCATTATCCACTTTATAAACTTATGAGGGAAATTCAATGAATGCATCATTTCTTCCACAAACCCCCACTCCACAGTATCATATGCCTTTCTTAGGTCTACTTTGATTAAACAGCTCTTGGTTGTATTCTTCCTTTTGTACAATCTCACCAAGTCTTGGCAGATCAATATGTTATGAACAATACTCCTGCCTTCCACAAAGGCACTTTGATTAGGGGATATAAGCCCAGGTAGGACTTTCCTGAGCCTATTGCATAGCATTTTTGAAATCACCTTATAGATTGTGTTGCAACAAGCTATAGGTCTGTAATCTCCAACTGCTTCAGCATGAGGGCTTTTTGGTATGAGATTAATCACAGTGTTGTTGATGGCTTTGAGCATCTTGCCTTCTTTGAAAAATTCCAGCACTCCCTCTTTTACATCTGAACCTACTACTTCCCAGCAATCTTTGTAAAATTGGCTGCCAAATCCATCTGGACCTGGTGCTTTGTCACCTGCAATTGCCCATAGGGCATCCCTCACCTCTTTATCACTGAATGCTGCATTTAATTCAGTTCTCTGCTCCTCTTGCACAATTGGACCTTGTCTGATAATTTGACTATTAACATGATCTCTATCCTCCACACTCTTCCCAAGTAATTCTGTGTAGAATTCTATAAATGCCTCTGGGATCTTTGCTGGATCATCAATATCATGTCCCTTCATATCCTTTATGTGGAATATTCTGTTGCTGTTCCTCCTGGCTTTCAGAATACCATGAAAGTACTTGGTGTTCTGATCACCCTGGTTGAGCCAGTGTGCCTTAGCCTTCTGCTGCAAGAACATGAGTCTTGCCTTTGCCCATTTGCTGCTTTCCTCATTTAGCATTACTTCTTCATTTATCAAGGCTTCATTCCTAGAGTCCTGCTGCACCTGACTTTGACATTGCTGCAGCCTATTTAATGCTTCCTCTGCCCTTTGTTCAATATTACTGAATCTCTCCTTGTTGATTTTCATCAATGTGCTCTTGATTCTATGCATTTTCCCCACCAGTTGGTACATCTTTGTACCCCCCCCTATCAGTGTTCCAGTTTGCTTTTATTCTTTCTTTAAAATCCCATGCCATACTCCACATGTTGAAGTACTTATATCTTCTCTTACTCTGCTGTCCCCCTCCATCCCAGTTTATTAAACCTGGTGAATGATCAAATAGTCCTGGTTGTAAGTAGTGTACCTCAGATGCTGGCAGTTGAGTCTGCCATTCATAGTTTGTGAGGACTCTGTCAATCCTGCTCATTACTCTATCTCCCCCTGCTTGCTTATTGCTCCATGTATAGAATGCACCTGAAGATCTCATATCCTGCATAGAACAATCCTCCATACATTTCCTAAAATCTCTGATTTCTGCTAGTGTCACCCTGCTTCCTATTCTTTCTTCAGTACTCAGTATACAGTTGAAATCCCCCATAATAGCCCAGGGACCCCTATTCTGCTGGTGTATACTTCTAATATCCTCCCACATTTGCTTTCTCATGCTTTGGTTGTTGAACCCATACACTATGGTAACATTGAACTTGTTACCTGTCCCTTTGTGAGTAACCATACTATGAATAAGTTGTTCAGTAACATTTGTGATGTTAACATCATACACACCTGGTTTCCATACAACCCAAATCCTGCCTGCTGGATGTTTTACTAAGTTAGTAGTAAATGACCACCCTCCACATAGATTAAGAGCAGCTTGCTGTGCTTTTGCTCTCTTAATCTTAGTTTCCAGGAGACCAAACATCCCAACTTTTTGGTTGTTCATAAACAGATTCATTTCTGTTTGCTTATGTGGCCTGTTCAGTCCCCTAGAATTCCAAAAACCTATTCTATCCATTGGATGAGGGGTTGCCCCCATCCTGCCCTTTTCCCAGGGCCATCTCACTCCCTTTTCTTTTTTCTGTTATAATCTCCTCCCCCTTCCTGCTGTTTTCTTCTGTGTTCTCCTGTTGTTGTTCACCTAGTGTGGCAAAGGGATTCCCTGTTCTTATGTCCCCTTGTTGCTTCCTTTCCCATATTTTCCCTCTCACTATCTTCTGCCAACTCCTTGATGTTGTTGCCACATCATTTGTTTTTGTGGCTCCTTCATTCCCCTTATTGCTTCTAGCTATCTGCCCCTACTCCTGTTGTGCTACCTGCACATTTTTGCATTGCTCCTTACCCTCCTGCTTTTCCTTTTGTTGCTGATTCTCTATGTTTGGTTCATTACCAATCTTCTTGCTAGCTTGTTTCTCTTTCTCCTCTTTGATGGATCTCCTGCATTCATTCATTTCATGCCCAAAATTCTTGCATTTCTCACACAAAGTTGGTTTCATTCATTAAAAACCTCCTGCTCCACTATTCTGCCTTTTTCATCCTCAAACATGATAGTGTTAGGATAACTCTGGTGAGTTTTAACCTCCACCAAAACTCTTGCAAAAGTCAGCCTCTCCTTCTGTGTTGTAGCACGATCAGCCTTCAATGGTTTTCCTACTAGCCCTGCCAATTTTGTGAGTGCAGCTTGCCCCCAGTATTTAATATCCAATCCAATAAACCTAATCCACATTGGGATCAAGTCTACTGATTCTTTTTTCAAGTCTATATCAGGATTCCAAGGTTTTACCACCACTGGCTTTCTGTCGAACATCTGGACTCCATCTTCGATCACTTTGATTTTGCTTTCACAGCTATGGAATCTCACCACAAACACACCTCTATTAGCCTGTGCTACAATGTCAATGCCCAACGATCCCCAGATCCTTTGGAAATACCCTTCCATCACTGACTGGGGAGGATTAGAACCCAGTACAAAACATACCACTGATGTGCTCCAGTAATCGATTGCCTCCTTTATATCCTCCATAGTAATCTTCACATTCGAGCTATTCTGGTGTTGAGGAGTTAGGTCCAATCCTTCATAAATTGGACTGGCTACAATTTTGCTCCATGACTTAGGGCTTGTTTCCCCTGCAACCTTTAGCTTTTCCGCTTCTTCCTCCTCCTTATCTGCCCATGAATTGCGTTTCTCATCCTGTTTCTTCCCCCCATTGTTTCTAGCTACTGTTCCATTGGTAGGCGATTGGCTCAGGTCTAATGGCTGTATTCCTTGCAGTACATTGAGGCTTCGAGTTTTCTTAGCATCAGTTGATTGCGGAATTCCCCTTGTTTCGATCACATTACTTAGATTTGTCTCCTGCATGTTCAACCCTCCCCCTCTAGTCTTCGATTTCCTCGTCATTTTCAGCTATGGCTGAGAGAAAAGTATTTATTGCATGTTTGTGTTATTGCATTTATGAGCATTCGTTGAATACAAACGTGCTGATTAACGATTGTTCATCTTATCGACTTCGCATGATATTTGATCTAGATTTTATTATTTTTAACTAAGATTCATCCTTTATCTCATCATTAATTGGTTTAACTAAAAGGCTCAACACTTTTTGGTCAAACAATACTAATTATAATCGATTATATGCAAATTATATATATGTTATACATCTGCCGGCTATTCAAAATTTAAGTGATTGTGTTGATGACTAATTAGATTAATTCCTCAATTTTCTATTTTGAAAGAGATAGACTTTGATAGTAACATGGGAAAGTTGTTCTCTCCACTTAATATATCCGTAAGAGCAAATTACAGATAATCTCGTTGAGATTTCCTAAATTACTGATAGACCTCTTCTTATCACGCTTCTTAAGTTTTATTTCATACGCTTGACTAGTAAAAAAAAGCGGCTTAAAATATGAGAAGTCTTACAAATCAGAAAGAAAGAAAAACAGTTTACAGGGGAAATATAATTCGAGTGTCTTATATAATTTAAAGATTTAGTAATTCTATAAAAATTGTGAAAAATGATTCTATTTGATGCACACTAGTGTGCCCTTATAGAATAGTAAAAGTGTGGCTAAACAAAGATGATCAGTAGATATAGACGACTTTAATTTTGTTTTCCTTCATTTGGTTTGGCAAAAAATTAAGTCGTAGATCCTCTCAAAAACAGTATGCATGTATTCTACTAGTGAAGAAAACACGAGGACGTTATAAGCCAAATAAAAAAGGAGACTGATTAGTTTTGAAAGACATCTTCCAGTACAGTATTTTCCTTGAGAACCTTTAAGTATGTAGTGGTACAACATTTGAGCTCAAGTTTTAAAAACTATTTAAAGATGACGTTCACGATTTAGATTCATTGCGAACTCTTTTCAATTTCAAGAACTCGAACGAATATGCATGAGTTAAATAGGATATTTTTTATATCCCATTTTATGTGATATACTTTTTTTGTTAGTCCGTCAAAGAAAAAATGTTACATATATTT